GCCCTCGGCGCCCCTGAGCAGCGACAGCCGGGCGGGCCCGCTGCCTGAGGGCCAGGGTGGGACACCGGGATGAGAGGGACAGTGGGACTGCTCCCTCTCCAGCCTCCGTGTCAGAGCGCCCGGCCGGCGGAGCCCACCGTGCACAGCTTCGGAGTCACAGACGCAATTCGGCGGGAAAAACCTCCGAGATCATCGAGTGCAGCCATGACCCAACACCACTGTGTAATTGAGACTGCATCCTGGACAAACACAGGCATAAGAGCTCTGAGGAAGCACCTTTTCTCTCCTGAAGTTGTAAATGAAGTATCAATACCTCTCATGGCTCCGTTGAGTTTTCCCCTTGCCGAAAGATAACCATTTCCTTCCGGCCTCGTGGTAGCAGCATGCTCAGAATATGAAAAGAGAGGAAGCACCTTGGCTGAACAGCTGGGCAGGTGTCAAGCACGTCTACTTGCAGGGAATGTGTACCCCTGGGAAGAATGGCCCACTTTCTGAAATGAAGGTTACCAGCTTTGTTGGACTTTAAAATCTCCAAACTTTGCACTTGAAAACTTTTAGTTGTGCAACTGATGAAGCAAGAAGTGGTTCAGAAGCAGGGAGGGTGTAAGTGATTATCAGCAAGGAAATCTCAATGTCAGACAATGAGGCGGCAGGGAACTAATAGGGATAAAGGAGATGGCATGGCTAAAAGCTTGGAAAACATGAAAGCAGGATGTACTTCAGATCTGGTCACAGAAGGAGGAATCTTACCAGACTGCTGCTCCAAACTTTATTCCCAGCTAGTTAAGTTACTGGAATTCATTGCTTGAGAGGAGCTGCAATTTCTACTTTAGTGAAAAATCAGTAAATATTTCCCTGTATTGTCATTATGTCACCCTTCAATCACTGGGAAATTGCACAAAGGAACACCTGCTGCACAGTCTTGAACTTTCACTACATTTCTCCACTGGTCCAAGGATAGCATTTATGTTGATTTCTCAGTTTTGTGGCTCTGTAAACAGGCAAGGACAGCACCCTTTCAAAACACATGTCTTTTAGGCATGGTGGACAGAAAAAGTGTAGATCAGAGCTTTCCACTCTCACCTCAAGGACACTGCTAACAGATCTCAGCTCCCCTCTACCCTTCATCACTCTCAGGATGCAAACACCAATGCAAGGAAGCTGCAGAGGCTGTTTCTCTTTTTGTCATGAGGATTACAGATTATTTCAAGACTAGGAAGCAATAAATACTGTATTTTTACTGATTACCTAATGAAATTCACTTTTCATGATTCAGCTTCATAAGATAGAAAGATCACCTACAGGTGTAGTTTCCACAGGGTTTGGTTTGGGTTTTTTTGCATTTAGGTGCTGTAATATTAGCTTTCCAGATGCACTAGAACTATCTGAATGTTTAAGCACAATCAAGAGTTTGCTCCAAGAAGCCTTGATGAAAACACCCTCAGAGGTTTGCTTCCTCTGACTGTGCACTTCAACCTGCCCCTGGCAGAATCAACACTAGAAATGACTGCAACAGAGATTGTTCTTTTTTGTCACATAAAGAAGGTACACTTTAATAAAATCCTGGAACATATTACCTTTGTACAAAGAAGTTAAAAATGCACAGTCATGTTATAACTATGTATAGTTTTTCATAAATGTCCAGTTTGCAATAAAGTGTATTTAGAAACAAAATCTTCCACCAGGTCTCCCTGCAACATCTTCATAGCTCGCCAGTGAATGCTTCCAGAGTTTTCTGGTTTGCCTTGGGGATGACTTAGCTCTTCCTTGACATAATCCAGCCACAAGTCTTTAAAAGAAAAATGAAAGTTCTGGTTAGATTTTGACTAGATATTGCTTAACAAACATACCAAGCCTAACTAGAAACTATTTTTCTAAGTGTCTTTGATATTAATGCAGTAGGGTTTACTTTGTTAAACTACAGTCTTCCAGCACCTTGAGGAGTAAAACCCTGGGTTCTATCCCAGGTGGAATAGTGATGTCTTCAGAAATAATGCAACAATAATTGAGCTGCATACTTTCATAAAAGGAATATTGCAGAAATCTTGATTATAAATATGTAACTCCATACTGTTCATAAATCCAAATTAAGTGATACATATGTCTTATGCCAGCCAGTGTCTGAACCTGATTTGCTCCTATTCTGCTGAAGCCATCCCAATGCCAATGACCCTGGGCTGACAGTGGAGGGTCCCTGCAGTGTCCTACACTTGATGGCACAGAAGAAATAAGCTCCACTCTGCATGACAGCAAGCACAACGGCAGAACAAACAGGTACCTTTTGAAATGGATGGAAATAAAAGAGGCAGCAGTGAATGAATGAATGAATAATAAAAAACAGAATCCCCCTTACCAGTATTTGTTGAACCAAACTCCCTCAAGGCACGTTCATAGTATTCTCTCAGATGAAGCATTTTGCAGGATTCCTAAGAAAGGAAGGTATTAAAAGGCCATTTATTTTGTAAAGAAGTGAATCTGCAGCATGATTAGATTCTGACAAAGGAAGAGAGTCATGGCAATTACACGCACACACTGCTGAAGATTAGTTGCCATGGAACTTGGGTTTGTATTCACATCCTGTGAATCAACTGCAGAGGACAAACATGAACTGATCACAGACTACCACCACTACTCTGCTTCCTATTTAAATCCCAATTTAGAACTGTATTTTACAAATAAAAAGCATTAATTGGCTAGTCAACAACTTACTTGCTCCTTTTCTATTTGGATCATCTTCCTGAAGAAGTCAAGTGAAAATGGACGATTTTCACACAGGCTGAAATAAAATAAGTGACTTTAGACTTAAGGACTTTTAACATATACCCTAGAATAATCAGGTCTGAAGGTTTTTTTGTTTTTTTTACCTGGTAAAGAGTCTTTTAACTTTCTTATAACCACAATTTCTGTAAGTCCAGTCAAGATACTTTTCTTTCATAGTCACAGATTCAGGAGGCGTTGTGGCACGTAAGGATCTCTGTTAGTTTAAAAGGGAAAAAAAAGCCCAAAATAAACAAAAAATAAACTTATCATATAACCTAAAATAAAAAACCCCAATTAGTTCTTCTCCCTAATTAGGCATCTGACACAAAGGAGATCTCCTAAGTCTAAAATACATTTCCCCTCCAGTATTCCATATAGCTGGAACTGGCATTTTCATAAACCACTTCAAGCAGGGGGCTTCACAATACTCTACAAACAGCTAAATTCAAGTTTCCACCTAAATACCTGAATTTTATATTGTAAATGGGAGAAAGAAAAACCACAACCCAACATACCAGGCAAAGAGAAAATGTTTTGTCCTACACTACTGAGGAAATCCACAGTGAGATTAAAGTCCTCATTCAAATCTTGACTATTCTGTAAAAAGACTGATGTTTTCACATAGACTGGAAAAACTCTCTTTTCCATGCAGATAAGTATCTGAAAACAGAGCAAATATTCTACACCAAAAAGTAGGAGCCCATCACTGGTTGTGTTTACAAACATTCACATGCCTTAGAACATGGGAATATTTATGCCTGTAAGTCTATGTCCAACTTTTTTTTTTTAATGCACACAATTTTGCTTGAAATTCTTTTATATCAACACATCCATGAAGGAACTTGAGTAAAAAGCATTTGTTGCATGTTCCATTCACACACATTGTTCTATTTTATTGACACAGCCATAAAAGTAGATTTTGATTAGCCAAGTACCTGGAAGAGAGCTTCAGTGTCTTCCTTGCTGTTTGTACCCTCACTCCATTCCACCCAGAGGGTCCACAATGGCAAGGTGCCCTACAAGGTCAGCAAACACATCAGATGGCTGAAATACAATGACTCTGACTTAAGAGAAACAGACAGCAACACAGCCATCAAGATCTGTATTACCTGCCATAAAAAATACCCTCTGGACACAGCTCTTGGAAAGACAACTTGGAACTGCACACTGAAATAATTTCTCATTTCCTCCCTGACTTACAAGATAAATCATCCTTAGCTGGACAGATGTGTTGCCAGGGATGAGAACCAAGTTCTAAAGTTCTGCATCACTGAGCACTGCAGTACACAGAGGTGACTTCCAAGAACAAAAAGGAAAGAAACCTTCCTGTTTCCTCACTCACTACCCAGGGTTTGAAATGGAACAGAGCAGGAGAGCAAAAAGCTAATTCAAAGCTTGAAATACCACACAGGCATTGGAAACACATTTTTCCATTAAGATATAAATAAAAGTTCGCTGCTAGGAGTATGTAAAATGTCACCTGTAAGCATTCAAACTTTAAACATGTGAATTTTAAGTGAATTGACAATTCCCTAATACTCAGAAATGCAATTTGCATGTGAAATGTCAGGTTCTTATTTCTGACCTTAAAAATGGTTAGGGACTTTAAATGTCTTGTAAACAAAACAAAAACAACAACAAATAAAAAAAATTAAAAACCAAACAAAAAAAAAGCACAAAAAACAAAACAACAATGGGAAAAACAAACAAACAAAAACACCCAACAAAACAAAACAAAACCCCAGCACAACAGACCTTAGATTCCACATGTTTAATGGCTTCTTCGAAACATTGGGTCACATCATCCCTTTTGAGCTGGATCAGCACCTGCAGCCTCATGTGCCACGTTTCCACGGACTGGCTGAAGTGCCTGGTTGCAGCTTCTGCCACCTCCACAGCCTTCTCAGAGAGGCTGGAGTCCAGTAAGAGCTGAAGCTAAAACCCAGAAGATGTAGCTTTGTTAAAAAGCAGGGCTTTGAACCAATATTGTTCATCTTTGTGCCTACTCAAGATGGCAAAGACAGGCACACAAATAATGCAGGAAAACCTCAGCATCTATTTCTTCTGTGTAGTTCTTACCCACTGCTTGTAGAGAGCTTCTGACAGCAAATTGGACTCATGGGCTTTGCTAAACACACTCAGTGTCCTCTCCAGCCTCTAGAACCAACAAAGAAAAAAAGCAAACAAGC